ATGAGGAATTCAAAGCTACGTAGTTCTGGGTAGAGAGCCATGTATGTGTTGGTTAATTTTAATGAATGGTGTTTAAGTCGCATTCTAATTGTTAAACGTTGCTTGAATGCTCGCGCGTGGGAGACTTAAGCGTATATTTTTATCGTAGTAGAATGGATAAAACATTATTCATTTGTAAAAAGTTTGATGTCACGCTGAGGTGAGAAAAGACAGTTTGATGGGTTGGGTCGTTTTTAGGTGGATGATGAGTATTCGAACGATAGGATAATTACGGCCATCATCCAAATACTCGGGGACTAGGATGGATAATTACGTCAAACTAATCCTTTTTTTCTTCCAAGTTATTTTGAAGTTTGTGAGGCGAGTTAAGTCGTAATTTATTAACGGCATACGAGTATTTAAATGGTAGGCTAATTACATCCATTTTCCAAATACTCGGGACTAAGATGGATAATTATGTCCAATTAATCCTTTTTCGTTCACTAAAGAGATTAACTAAATTCAGTTATTTATTGTGTTTTGAACAAAAGACGAGCACTCGAATGGGAGGCTAATTACGACCATCATCTAAATACTTAGGGACTAGGATGGATAATTACGTCCAACTAATCTTTTTTCATCCGATTTTTATTAAGAAAAAACTTTCAAAACGTTTTAAGTTTGAAAAAGACTTTATGTTGATCAACTGTTTGATTTGTGTCGTTTTGAAAATGGTTTGATTTGGTGGTGAAAGGGTTTTATAGAAAATACACTTGATGTTTGATCAAGTGTTTTAATTTAGAAAGGTTGGTTTTAATTGTTTTTTATTTAATTAACATCATTAATATGAACAATTAAATAATAAAAAGCTAGATTTTCAAACACCAACTATAATTTTTTATCAAAATTTCCCTCATATTCTCATCATAAAGTTCTAGGGTGTCTATGTTTTCCATTAATCTCTTTCACTACTAGAAATAAACTTCAGCCAAGGTCAACACCATGTATCTTCTTAGAATACTCCTCCAACCATAGAGGATATAAGTATCTTGAATTGTCTAGTCGCAAAATAACCATTTCTAGACATGTTATTTTTTATGAAAATATTTTTCTCTTCTCTACTTCACATGCTCTCCATTCCTCATGCTATGAATTTTTTAATACAAGCGAAAAACATTCTAGTTATCCTTTTAATAAGTTTGAATTTTTCTAAGGTATGGAATAATATTTATTGTAGAATTTAGTTTAAGGAAGGAAAACACTATTAAATAAGGCTAGCATAATGATCTACTGTATTTACTAAAATGTTAAAAAGAAACACACAAAAAGTGTGCAAAAATAATGAAAATTCCAAAGAGTATATTGAATAAAGTCTGTGTGCCTGAAATTGGAGGAACGGTGTATGCATTCACCATTAGTATCTGGTTGGACACATTATAAGTGAGATCCCATCAGGTAAAAAGGTGGAGCATCTGGCAAAAGTTACTAAGAAAAGTGATGCAGGTAGAATCCTCAAGTTCAAAATGAACCAAAAACTCAAAACAAAAACTAGGATAGTGAATCCCCCTACTAAAATTGAAAATAATAAAATCTTGGATCATGTGATAGAATAATCAAACTAGAATTTAGGCTAATTATCTTGAATAAGGATATTTGGCATGGCAGACAGCATCATGAAACACACACACACGCTAACAAGGTTAAATGTAACAAAGTTGTGCAAATTTTTGGATGTGTTCCTCTTAGATAAATTATGATTTGCATGAAATGTGCTACTAAAGTAAGAGATAAAGGAAGTTTTTTTTTCTTCTGATATTATTTGTCATATCACCTAAGGATAGGTAATGATTCAAGTTTGAGGGTGTGACAACTCACAATGTGTGAGATATTCTATGCTTTAATGCTTTATTTTATTTTGTTATTAAGTAAGTTTGTTAGGTCAATTTAAGTTTATTTTGTTGTTTGTAGTAATTTTGTGAAAAGCAAAATAGGTACTCTCTTTTATGAGTTTTTATGTGTTTGTCACATGTATATGAACGCTTTCTAATAAGTTCTTGCATGACAGAACTGGCGCATCACTTTAACCTCGACTTTCAGTTAAGTGTCAATTGCAAATAAGGTTACAATGTGTGAATGTCCATGGAATTAGAGCACACATGTCAATAATCAGAGAACTGAAGTTTAAATGTGTTAGAAATGAGAATGAATAAGATCAAGCACTACAAGACAAATTCTGCAAAATATGTGATGTCCACAATGGTGCACATTATGTGTAGTTGTGCAGCAAGCCTTCCACATAATGTGTTGTCCCCTACAGGATGGAAATTATACTACCTAGAGCTTATTCAAATGTAGAGAGAAGGAACATGTTATGATTAATGGGCCAAAACCAACGAATATCCACAAGGCATGTGATCCAATGACAAGACAAAAACCCTAAAAGTTAGAGCGTATAAAAGATCCCCTTGGACTTAATGGAGAGATGATCAGAAGTTAAAAACTTGAGAAATACATTGAATAATTATCTTACTGAAGAAGATGTCTGAACCAGAGTGAAGAGTTCCTTCCATCCACCATTGAAGAGGTGTTGAGCATCCATGTGTGACAGAACTCTTCTCCTGCCGATTAAAAGATTGCAAGAATTGCAGTGTCATACTTAGACTTATATTTTTTTCATTTGTGTTTATAAATGTTGAATGTAAGAACTTATGTTGTTGTATTTATTTTGCTCATCATGAGATAAAACTCTTTACGTTAAGCAATGTGAAGTTTAATGAAAACTAGTATTTTGTGTTAACATGGTGTGATTTGAAGTGGTATATTTTGATATGTGAAGTAATAATATACATCTATTTTTTTTATTGATCACTTTAGAAATAGGTCAAAGTTGGTTAAGAGTTGAGAGATTCATTACTAACGGACTTCATAAGAAAATGTGGTTGAAAATAGTAGGATAGACATATTCACTAGATTAGTCATTTTAGAGATAAAAGACTACAGCCATAGGGGAAATCAAAAGATGGAAAAAGATATGCTTTAATTTTATTGTGAGACCTCGAGATTTGTTCCTTTGACTTATTGTGTATGCCTTGATGTTGTAGACATACACCTCTAAATCATCTTTTGTCTCATCTATAACAACAGATCTCATCAAACACACACACAAAATATGAACTTCATTGGATGGATTATTGTCCAACATGGCTCTTACTATTGATTTAATTTCTTTATCTTCACTTATATTTTATTGTATTTCAACTTGAACTTGTGACAAACCAATATTATTGTTACCCATTTTGCTCATGGCTATTCATAAGCTTTGGAAGAAAGAATCAACTTAAATTATCACAGTCTTTGTGAGATCGATATTCTTATTTTTACATCACTTGCTACTATTTGACTATGTAAACTTGTACATAACAATAGTTCACACAATACACAACAGTGGGGAAAACGCCCAGATGGCGATAGATAATATCAAAAGATTTAATGATTTCCCAAATGTTAGGCGTGATTTGGGAGAGGGTGGTGTTAGCAGTCGCCTAAAAGCCTGCTTCAAATGGTGCAAAGGGTATCAAGACCCCCAATTCATGAATGACAGGGGGTGCGAGTAAAAATAAGGGGTGGATAAACCATCCAAATTAGTCATGTTATCTTTATCCGTTTTTGAACATGGCTCCAAAATCACATCCTCTCCGTGCCTTGTACTTGAGAACCTAATTTTTCGGTAAATTTTTGTGATCCTTTCCGAATTAGAACATAAGGATATGATATCTCGAATACGACACATTTGGTATTCTTCCATACCATTAATTCCGAAGGAAAGGAGAATATGTTAGAAAGTCGTGGTACTTGGATCCCTAGAAACTTAATGAACCCCGTGATTTTCTCCTTTCTTACCTAAATTTAAAGATTAGAAAAGCGCTACCGCGCCTAACTAAGGGACTCACTCCTAACTAAAAGACTCACCCCTAACTATGGAAGTCTCGCCTAACTAAGATACTAACACACACACGCGCGCACACACACATGTGTGCATGTGTGTGTGTATATATATATATATATATATATTTGAAAGTACTCTTAGAAGTAATGTGAAACTTAAATATTATCATCAAGTAGGGAAGGTTGATATATTTTCAGTAGAGTCTTAAGCTATCAAAATTTTTCCTTGAGGACAAGGAATCATTCAAGTTTTAGATTTATTTAAGAATTATTACTTCTAATAGTTTATGTTTTTGTAGCCTTTTATTTTGATTTCGAAAAAATAGGGAAAAGATCCACCCGTGCCCAAATCACTCTAATTAGACAAAATCTACGATGTTTTCATTGTAGGAAAATGACATGGACACAAGAGTTGGAAAAAATATAATAAAACTGAATAATTTTGAAATTTTCCCAAAGCTGAATTCAATAGCAAGCTACTATGTGTCACACCCTATAAAGAAGTGCGTCCCAATGTGGGAAGTTGTTGAAACATTGTTAGCAAAATCACCGTGACAGAGTGTTGGATGAGAAACACAGCGCGCTCACGCAGGATCAAAATATTCTCTATAAATTGGAAGTCTCTTCAATTGTTAGGGTTGATAATTTTATTTGTAGGGATAATTTTATCTTTTGCAATTTTTCACATTATGTGTGAGGAATAAAACAAGGATGAAGAAATGTCTTCATTCCTTTACAGTAGTGATGTTCGGCTTGGTCGTAGTGATACTGAGCTTGGTGGTGGTACAGGTGATGCAGCTTCAGAACTTGTCTGGCTGATGATGGAAGTGACAATAGGTTCATTTTATTACCACAACACAAACAATATAAATTGCACCAGTCATTTCAACTCAGATATAATAGTCAAATTTCCAACATTTACAGTAATAGAAGCTTTGGTTGATACTAAACAGAGATGTCATATTTATATATTTATATAAGGCAACAACCCTTTTAGTTTCCTACCCTGACTAGAAGAGAGCATTTAAATGAACAAATTTTAACTATTGTAGTTAATAATAATAAGTTTTTAAACCTTATTTCCTAGAAGTTTTAGCAAATCCGAGTTCCTTACGTAGCTGTTCATCAGGTTGCAAGCTATCTGGAATGGCACCAAAGATTCTTCGTGATATTTCAAACCCAGAAGCTACATGATGTACATATGCTGATGCATCCTCGACTGTTTGTTGCAAACCTAACGAAGTAGAGAGATAGTTTGAGGTACTTCTTGACATTAATTTTCTATCAGATGGCTTGTCAAGGTCAGCAGCCTTAAGAAACCGTTCTGTCGCAGCCTCCCATGAAAGGTCATGTATCTGATCATCAGTAAGCTGGTCAGGCTTTTCAGCCAATGCCTTAAGTGTGAGTTGAACAAATTCCTTGTGGTTTGTATACGTCCAACAATTCGGGAACTGCTTGAAAAATTCATTTGAGCAATGGTCTGCGCACACAACGATTTTTCCCATTGCCAAAGCTTCTGCTGTAGTTGTGCAAACCACGTCTGTTGTGCTCGGATTAAGAAACAATTTGAAACTGAGGTACATGAAACATATACATGCTCCCATCATCAGAACATTGTCAATGAGCTTAAAAACAACTTTAACACATCATTCAGACAAAAACAAAACACATAGTGCAAGCAATAAATATGAAACTTACTCGTGAAATAGATCATCAGCATGATCACGGCCAGGATGAACTCTAACTGTCATTTCCAGCTTCTTAGCAGCTTTTTGAACTTCATCAGAGTCCTCCCCACTTCCAAATAAATCAAGCTCAAGAGCAGATAATTCCTTTTGATGATCATTAAGAAGTTGGAGCAGCTCTTTGTAGCCTTTGCTCCATATCATTTTCCCAATAAAATAGGCACCTTTGGTAAAGACATTGTCTTCATTTTGTTGTTGATTCCTTTTTTTCTTGCCAATCTCAAGGAACTTTGGATTAACTCCATGAACGTTACAGACGATGGACCCAGGGTAATCCTGAGTGGCAGCAGATAGTCTGATTACCTACAATCATACAGTTAATCAGTTCCAAAAGAGCAAGCGCACACAATGGTTGCAACAAGTTCATGATTGCATAAAATATTTTCTTTCACAACTAAGCATTAGAGCAAAGTCTCATTTCCACTGTGATGATGATTACTCACAAATGAATACACCAAAAAACATCATTAAAGCATTGCAAACGTAAACATTGGATTCATTTTTAATATTGTCCGTGAAAATAAGCTAACTTACCTTGTGACAGTATATACCAACAACCCAGTTGTTTAAATATTTGAGTAAAAATGCTTGCAGTTTTCCATTCTTCTCCCTCTTCACATATTCTAAATAATTTGTGTGAATAATTCCTATAACCAGCCTGAATTTAGTTTTCCATCTTTTCCCATGGTGATACCAAGTCAGATGCTCAGGCTCCTCTAGAACAGCAATATCTGCATCTTCATCGGGGATAATTTCTGAAATATCGCCAACAGCAAGAATGCTCCTTTTATCTCTAGAAAACTACATGGTAAGCATATCGTAAATTAGCATTACTTCTAAAATAAAAAGTATCGTGAAGTCAATTGGAAAACACTCAAGCAAACGATAATTAAATAAAGCATAAATAGAGATTCTTATTAGAGTAATCAATCCTACGCCAAAAACGACTTCGACACTGAAACGGCGGCACCAGTAATAATTTAAAAAATTAAATAAATTAGACGTAATCACAAGTGTCAGTGCATGTGTAGGACACTGATACAGACATGGGCACACTTTTTTTCAGAAGTGTCGGTGCTACATAGATCCTAGATAGTGGCACAGAACGACCGACCCCAAAAATGGGATGGCGGAATAGCGTATAATGAGATGGCCGCTATTTGATCATTTTTTTGGACAAATTACATGAATGATAATTATAAACATATGAAGTGCAGAGGAAAGAACGGAGTGCAGAGAGGTGAGGTGAGGGAGGAACTTGTGATTTTTCTTTGGAATTGTTGAATTGCAAGGAAGGATAGGGCTGAGTATCAACTCAAACTTGATTGAAAAATCCATAATTAACCTTAAAACCTTTTTAATTTAAGGGGTAAGTTCAGTTCTTAGGGAAAAAGATAGCAGAACAGAAACCGCGCCGAAACAGAAACTGCTCTGCCCCTGTACCCGTTCTTTACCTTATAGTGGCCATTATAGTGTTTTGCACCGCTAAGGCTCTTCTCCTAGCAGCCTCCGCGCATCTCCACTTCGCTATAGCGGCCACTATGACTACTTTTATTCTTACAAACCAACTAATGTCCCAAGCTATATACCAAGTATGTCACAGAAAAACATATTACTAATAAAACATTGGTGACTTAGGGTTGCAAGTCTTCATTACAAACCTCATTCATTAGCAAATCATTTCACTAAACTAACATTTTTTCCTTAATGGTTAAACTTAAACTATCGTCTTTACTTGAACGTGTTCATATTTCCGTGGTTTTGTGCGAGTTTACATTTAAACAAAAAATGTAGAAACAGTGAGAGAAGTCATCACCTTTCCCGGATAAAACTTTATGCTAAAACCAGATGCAAACCCAAGTCTATCCTCAAGCCATTGGCGAATATACTTCTCCTGCTCTTCCGGAGAATCAAACGTCATATTATTTGGATATACTATTTTTTGATCTTTCAAAGATAACCAAGGGATCAACAATGTAACATTCCTTTCCCCGGCTTTGTAAAGATATGCCGCACGGAAGAGTGGATTCACTGCAGTCCCGGTCAACCACGGAAGGCTAGCAGTTGTAAAAATTGCAAAATGCTGTTTCTTATCCATCTGTTAGTTGGATTTGAAACTTCACAATATCATAGTAGTTCAAAACTCCCTAGCACGTGAGAATCACCAGCCAAAAACAGCTTCAGAAGAAAAACTAATCGAACACTTTAACTGCAATAAATCACATATATTATTAACCTATATTGAAGCATTATGAAACAAGCTAGAATAAAAACTAAACATTACGCATAAAAAACACAATCTTGAGAGGGTTCCTTTTCTGTTATTTCAAACATAAACAGTCCTAAACTCAAATTCTTCAAACAGATTATCCAAGAAAAACGAAAGAAAATAATTGAAATTAACGGCATAACAGTGTGAAATCGTTGATGGAAAATGGAATATGTACCTTGAAGGAAAGAAGACGAAAGATTGGTGAAGAAGGAGGGACTGTAGAGAGAGAGAGAGAGAGAGAGAGAGAGAGAGAGAGAGAGAGAGAGAGAGGAATTTGTGTGAATGAATGGTGAAGAGAGTTAAGCGAAGGAAATTAAGGAGGTAGAGAGAGGGAATATTTTCTCTCTCTTAGGCTGAAGTAAACGGTGTCGTTTCGCGTACGCTGGTTGCCGAGATCCTCTGGTTCGATATTCAACCAATGTAATGCGACGAAGAATTGACCAATCTTGAGGAAAAGGAAACGACCAATCTAGTTTTAGAATCATTAATTATGAATATTTTGTTAACAAAATGTGTTGCGACCAATAAAATTTTACTAATTTTGATGCAATTTGAAAATTAATTTTACTTGTTAATACATCAAAATCAATTGTGTGTAATTTCTAGTAAATTGAGATTTATGACTATTTTGTCGGTGTATATTTTTTAATAATTATCACTCTTTCTATTTTAGTCTTAGATTATAAAATAATTTTATAATCATGTAAATTGTTTCAGTTTAATTTTTGAAGAGTTTTTAGTTTATAGTTTTTCAACGATTAAAAAAATTTATTTGATAACTGATTTTTAGCTTTTAGTTTATAATTTTTTAATTAATTTTTAGTTTTTTTCAAAAATTATTTAAAATAGTTTTTGAGCTTGTAGCTTTTAACTTATGATTTTTTATTTCAACTATATCCTTATTATTTTAAATATATATATATATATATATATATATATATATATATATATATATATATATATATATATATATATATATATATATATATATATATATATATATATATATATATATATATATATATATATATATATATATATATATATATATATATATATATATATATATATATATATATATATATATATAATATTTACTATTAAAAAATTGATTTTAAAAGATTGAATTTAGGGAGATTTTAAAGAATGTTATAGAAAATTTTTCCTATTTTTTTCTACTTTATTAGACATTATTTTTATTTATTAAATATAAATTATATAATTAATTTAGAAATATGTTTATAATTCTTAAGTTAGGAGAATCAATGAAATCAACAAAGATGAAGAGAATTTAGAATATTATTTAAGTTTTATTGTAAAATATTAGACAATAACTTACTTTTGTTATTATTTTAGATTAATATAACTAAATTCAAAATTACAATGTTATGATTTCACGTATTTTATTAAATTTTATTATAAAATTAAGAGGAAAAAAATTATATTATACGAAAGAATGAGTTAACCAGACTAAATATTGTTTTTATTAAGATTACTTTTATTTTTACGTCCTCATAAATGACTTTATAAAATACTCCTACTTCATGTATGGTTTATTGGTTCTTTTATTCATTGAATTTCGTTGTCAATATATTTATACTAAATAGCAAAACTTGTAAAACTTATATACAAATTTATATATTTTGATAATATCTTCAATTTTTCATATATATTAAAATTATTTTGCATGTTGTTATTGATACATTTACTTTTATAGAATAAACTAATAGGATAATGAAATCACAATTTTTTTAATTAAAAAGGTTCTTTTATGTCATTTTATAATTATCAACTAATGTAACAGTTAATTTACCAAACACTCAAATTAACTTATCAGACATCAGATAAGAGCTATAAGTTATAAGCTATCAGCTATCAGCTAACAACTACCAGTGTCAGCTATAAGCTAGTTTTACCACAGAGCTTTAGAATTTTGGTGAAAACTCTCTTATACGAGAGTAGTGTTTGGAGGATTTTGTATATGTTCGACTTAATAATATTTTTGGTTTTGTAACTTAATTTCGGAGTTCATTTTGGTCCCTTAATTTTAAAAAGGTTTATATTGGTCTCTGAACTCTTCAAAACGTTCCATATTAGTCTTTTTTTATCTAATTAGCGACAAATTTATCGACTAATTTTTTAATTTTTTCGTCGCTAATAGGACAAAAAGGACTAATATAGAATGTTTTGAAGAGTTAAGAGACCAATATGAACCTTTTTAAAGATAAGGGACCAAAATGAACCTCGAGATTAAGATACGAGACCAAAAAGGGTATTAAGCTTATGTGTTCTTAAGAAGAATTTTAATGAAATACTTTACACTTATACGATTCATGTTAGAGGAATTGTGTATGTGTTCATTCTTATGGAGGATTTTAGTGAAGCACTTCGCTTTTATATGTTTCATGCTTGAGGAATTGTGTATATGTCTGATTTCTTAGGTCGAGTCTTAGAGTAGGGTGGAGTCAAACCAATTTCATTAGAGTTTGCCCCGGCTTGAAGTAATTTATTTAGAATAGCGTGATCGAGCTAAGATTACTAAGGGACAAAATTGGTTATGTCGGCCCAACTCTAGCATAGGTCAATATTTGATGAAGATATAATTGAGAATACATTTATTACTAATGAAGGATGTCAGGAACTGTGAAGTCACTACTAAGGAAAATACCTAGCACAGCGGTTGGTAAAGGGATACCACCATGTTGGTCCAACTGTTATGAGGTAAGGTGTAATTAGAGGTGGAGAGAAGGGTGGTTGAAGAACTACAATTACTTTGCAAAATCATTTCGCCCAATGTTATTTACTCTGCAAATAAAATTATTACTCTGGAAAGAGGGGTGGTTGAAGAACTACAATCATTAAACCAAGTTCTAACTGCCAAAGAACAACATGCAGATAACGGATTGAAGAATTCTTGTCGAAAATTGAATGTGTATTTGTTTTCTAATACAATTTTATCTATCATATTATAATTTTCTAATGCAATTTAAAAAGTTATATATTCGATAAGGGATCGAAAAAACACTCAAACAACATAATATATAATAAACTCGTCTTTTAAACAAACATTAACAACAATGTTCATCAAAAACATTCATCAACCACATACACGATGCAACAAACATATCAAGTCATATAATACTTCAAAAACGTACCGTACATATCCCATAATGGGGTGTCCATAATGAAATAAGGATGAAGCTGAAGTTAGAGCTTCCAACTTGTGTATATTTCGAATGGGTGTCATTCTGGATCTTTCACACAAGTTTGGAATGTTAACTTTAACTTCGTCATCTTTATTTAAACAAGCATTCATACCTACAAGTCAAAACAAGCAGAGAGTTCAAATATTGTGAAACAAGCTATTAAAACATATTTTGAAGAAAAAAAACTATAGTGAAAACAAACATGTAAATATCCATTGACTAAGATTTGATGTTATATATTTCATTTTGGGATTTCCATATGAGAGATACGAGTGACAGAGTTGTTAGGGTTTTGTTTTGAGAGAGACGAGTGAAAGAGTTGTTAGGATTTTGTTTTAAGAGAGACGATTGTTATGTATTGAAGCAATAGATAATTTTTCTTATATATAAATAAGTATCACCTTTCACCATGGTTGAAAATAAAAATCATGGTGATATACAAGGTCAATCACATTATTATCACGATACATGGAAATTGTTGGTGATAGGATTTGAACCATTTCACTACGGTTGTTACATATGACTGTTGTGATATGTCCTTTAGTAAATACTAAAAAATGTCCAAAAATAAACTATTACCACGGTTAATATGATGACCCTTGTAAAATTGATGTCACGAAAGGTTTATTTTGTATTAGTGAGTCAAGTTTCTCCAACATTGTGTTTTGATAAAGATAATTATACCATCTCTAGCTCATGTGCATTATTAAAGGATGAGGAAAAAGCTTCATGAATCAAGCTATAGTATCGAGACTTGTATCTCAAGCAACATTGTCAAGATATTCTTAGAACTTTGAAGATTGATCACTTCATTAAAGGTACAAATTATAATTGATCATGTGTGTTACCATAGTGCTCATAAATTTCATTATCATTTTCACCATGATGCATACAAATAAAACTCAATCTTTCATTTTTAAATCAACTGCCTTGTGTCATAAGTTTTTTGAGTGAAACTTTATGCATTCATTTTCATTGCATTAATCAAAAGTTTCATCAATTTTGCTATGAGCACTTATGTAACACTTATGAATTGTCTACTTGGAAGGGAAGATAAATTCAAGCAATTGATATACATCTTACAACTTCAAATCTCTTGTCAAAACTCGGATTTTTGTGTATACCTTATTGTCAAGGATTGTTGGAAACAAGAGAGAGAAAAAGAAAGGATTGATTTCTTTTTCTACTTTCTAAAATCATAAGGAAGTGTGCCTTATTGATTTAGTAAGTAAATTGTGTATAGAAGCTAGGATTAGGCTTGTGTAAGGTTCTAATAAATAGTGAAATCTTTTACATGTGGTAAGAGGACTAGACGTGCTCTCGGATTGTGAGAGAAACTAGTATAATCCTTCGGTGTTCTCTACTTTTCTCCATTTTACTGCTTTCATAAACATCGTGAAACCAGAAAGTTAAAGTAACATTTCACTAAAACCAAAAATCAATCGAAGTACCCAATTCACTCTGCCCTTCTCTTAGGTTCACCTTACACATACAATTGGTATTAGAGCAGTTTATAGGCAACATGTTCCTAAATATCCATAATGTTTTCCGCAAATCCAGTTTTCAAAGACGATGGTAACAACAATAAACCTCCACTGCTCTCTGGTGAATACTTTGATT